AGATTAAGATGAATAACATATGTATTGACATAGCACATTTATATTGAGTGATAACATATATTTCGAAGTTTTATACCTATAAGCCATAATATCAAGTTATCAAAATAAATATAATAGAAATAAGTGACTGGGCCCTCCCTGGTGGCACAGTGGGTTGGAGCACAGCACTGCAAACTAGCCACAGCCTCTTCAGTGCAAGCTTGATCCCCAGCCCTGGATATGACCCACACGGCTCAGCAGACCTCTTCTGACTGCCCGCTGCTCCCCTCAGCAGTGTCCTTCATTGATCTGCCTGTTCTGTTCCCCACTCTGTCTCTGGTGAATCCTCTCACTACTCTTGTATCTCTGGTCTGTATCCCAGTACTGTATGCATAAATAAAAAGACTTAAAAAAAGTAACAATGAAGAGGAACCAGGCGTGGGCTCTGCCCCAGGGAGAGTGTGGTCACAGGACGTGCTGAGAAGGGAAGGGCCAGGGAGCTGCAGACTGGACTGTGGTGGTTACTAAAGGGAGGGAGGACGGATAAATTATATTGTGACATGTGACACATCATTAAATTATTTAAAAATTCATTGTTTCCAAGAGAAGAGAATAATATATCATAATATTCTTGACAAGGGTCAATAATCCTCTAATAGAATACTTAAAATTTTTGCATTTCTTGAAATAAAGTTTTTCTCAAAAAAATATCTTTACCAATTTGAAATCTAGGAGTTCAATGGAATGCTTAAGTTTGGGATTTGATATGTACTGACATGTGCAACTACCTTTGAAATGCATCAGAAAAATAAAACGGATGAGTAGAGAGACTGACCCGTGGGTACAGATCAGGGACGAAGCGAATGTGGCGACGGCTCAGCTGGGTCTGGCCGTGTGCTCTGCACTTCAGCTCTTCAGCTCTTCTGTGGGCTTGGAAATGGCCATGAAACACCACAGACTGAGCAGTGATGCAGCCACACTCTGAGGACAGGCCTCCGGACTCTACCCTGACCCCAAAGCAACGCCATCAAGGCACCGGAACTATAAATCCCATCATCATCAAAAGGAGGATGCTGAGACCTGAGGTTTGCCAGGTTTGGTATAAAGCAGACATGTGGGCCTTGGGGCTTTCTTGCTCTCTTGGCTCTTGGCTCTCAAGCTTTAGCTCTTGGCTTTTCACCGGCTCTTAGCAGGCATCTTTTTGGTAATGTGTGTCAGGTCATCTGGTACATTCTCAGAGAGATGAAACAACTTAATTCATTGGTGAGTCTGAGGAGGAGCCCCTCCCAGCACAGGGGCCTGGTGCTCCATCTCTTGGGAGGAGACGTGACTCAGTAGAGAGACCCCATGTTCCCATCTGTGGGGACCCAGAGCTTCAGTGAGGTGCGTCCCTGCCATGCCTGGGCAACCAGGAAAAAGAAAAGGTCCTGGTAACCTTAAGGAGAGGAAACCCCAGGTGCAGTCTGTCGAGACCGACTCTGTTTCCGAAGCTGCCTGGCCCAGACGGCAGGGCTCACTCCGGCCTAGTGGAGTGCTCCAGTAAGGCCCAATAAGGTCGCTGCTGGGTGTTCTGCCCTGTGATTTTATGCAAAATAGGTAAAATGGCTTAAAAGGAGATACAGTTTGCAAATTTTTTGCTGTTCCGTTGGATAAAATTGAGATCAGGTGGAGAGAGTTTGTTTTCTAGATGAGTAAAACCAGTTTTTAAGAGCTTTTTCTTCCTGTGATTTGATATATTTGTTGTTTTGTTTTGGCTAATGCCCCTAGATGTTTTCTCTTTGGCACGGACCGAGGGGCTGTTTTCCGGGAATGGAGTACTTTTATTTGCCAAACTGGACTATACCTGGAGAGGCTGAACATGGTTTTTCTTTCAAACTGGAACCCTGAAAAATTTACATCTGAGTTTTCACTCCAGAATCCGCACATTTGATCTTCATCACCATAGAATTGGTGGCAAAAGTGAAAGGGGGGAATTAGTGCAAAAGGATGCACTGAACAAACTCCACACAGGCTTTGTGGACTCCACCGAATCAAGACCAGAGCCATCAGGAAACTACAAACCCTATCACCCCTGAAAGGAGGATGCTGGGACATGAAGGTGGAGTTAAGCAGCCACATGTGATATAAATCAGACACGTGTCCTTTAGGCCTCTTAGCGCTCACTGCCTCTCACCGCCATTGGGATTCCAGGTCAGTGGAACTGGTAGGACACATTTACCAACTTATCTCCTTCTCTTTCTCCCAGAAATACTCGTGTTCACTTCTTTTGTAAATAAGTGACCTTTTTTGTGTGTGCTGTAGTTGAGTATTATTGTAAGTCCCTTTAAGTGCACAGTGAGGACCCACAATAAGGCAACCAATTTCTAAGTCTCCATGTACACACATTTATCTGAATTTGGTGGATGGACGAGCACCACTAACCTGTTTTGCTAGCCTGTTAGCCTGGCAGAATCATTTCTGTGTGGTTCTGCAGCAGCTACGCTCTGGATATGGCCTGGTCCAGTACCTGAGACCCACTGAGATGTGTCCTCTTAGAGTTTTAATGTCCTCCTTAACTAGGATCATCTGTTCTTTCAGATATGTTGCCTCCTGTGTCTGGGCTGGGGTGCCACAGAGCATGTGGGGCATGTTCTGAAGGGCCTGGCAACTTGCTTCCTCCTTGTGCTTCAGCTCTTGGTTGAACAGCACTGCTCCATCCCTAAGGAGGCCTTGTTTCTTAGGGGCTAACCTTTCTAGCACCCCCTGAAGTTTGCCTTGTCGTCTAACCTTCACTTTGGAGTCTTCAGCCAGGATCTTGGATACGTCCCTGCCTATACAGCCCAGGCCTCTTGCCCCGGCCTTAAGAGCTGGCTCTGGGTGGTAAGGAGGCCTGGGAGGGGGCCCTCAGGTCCACAGCACAGACATTTGCACCCTGAGGCTCCTCTGGCAGGTTGTTGAGGTCCACCCCGGGGTCCAGGGTTTGCATTGCTATGACCCTGTGAGAGCCAGTCACAACTGAACAGTGAGTAACCAGGATACTTTTCCTTCTTGGTTGATTTTCAGTGGCCCTGGAGTTATAATTACCTTGTTTTCTCACTAGCTTAGTTCCTGTTGTGCTCATTCCTAACCCCCCAAGCCCTCCCCAGGGTCAGCATCTCGATGGACACATCACACACCCCAGCTCTCCTGCCTGCTCCATCCTGTGCAGACCCCTGTCCCACAGCCTCAGTCCTGTCTCTGGGGGCCTGGGGCCTGCTCACCTGGCAGGGCTGAGGCCTGGACCCCTCACCTTACCCTGGGCCTCTCTCCTGTCCCTGCCTCTGATGTTGATTTCCCTGAGTTCTGTTCTCTGTGTCCATCCTTCTGTCTCCTCTTTGCCCACTAGTGTCCTTTGCCTACTAGGGGGGGACATGGAAAGTGACCCCTGAGGCCAGAATAGCTGAAGTGATTTCTGAGTCCCAGCACTTCCCTTCACCTGACCTGGGGTCTCGGCTGCCCCCTCAGGGGCTGGGCAGGCCTGGTCAGGGCCTTCTGGCCTCCAGGCCTGTGTTGTCTCTCGAGGGCCCCAGGGCCTTTCCTTCCCCAGTCTCTGTCTCAAAGTCCCTGGTGGCGGTCACAGGTTGGGGCTGCCTGTCCTCTGTGGGAGGACGCCTCACATGAATATGTGTCTGTGATGCTGAGGGGTTTTCTTGAATTTTATCATTTCCACTCTCCACTCTTTTGTATCATTAACCTCTTGGAATCTCCTGATCAGTTGAAATTTGCTTGAATTTTGTTATTTCCACTCTCCACCACTTCCCTCAGCAGTGTACTTCGTCCATCTGCCTGTTCTGCTCCCCACTCTGTCTCTGGTGAAGCCTCTCACCCTCCGCATCTCTGGCCTGTACCCCAGTTCTGTATGAATAAATAAATAAAAATATTTAAAAAAAAAGAAGCATCACTTAAACACCATATGTCTTATCACTATTTTGGCATTTGCTGAGGTAAAATTTAGTGAGAGTGGAGATTATAGCACCAACTGCAGAAGCAGTGATTCTTCGCCAGCACTCACCTGCAGACACAAAAAGTAAAGACAGCTTCACTTGAAAATGTTATGGAAAATGCATTAAAAGTTATCATTATTACGGTATCATCCTCACAGGTCACCTGGTGTGGTGACCTGTGAGCACACAGCGCTCTCTGTGGGATCCCACACTGTGTCCCCAGGAAATATCTGATGTGATGAATTAGACTCTTTATTTGTGGCAAGACCATTCTTACCTGATGGGATGAAAGACAAAATGTAAGATTATTTAGGTTTACTTAATTTAGCAGACACTTTCCTCAAAATGAATGTCTGTTTCTTTAAGAAAACCAACAATTGACAACTGATGGTAATTTTGCCTTGATAAAATATAAGCTTTCAGAGAAAACCTAAATTGTGAAAAATTGTGTGCCATCATGACTTGATAACTTACAATACTGGTTTTTCTTTTGGGGACTTATGATTAAAAAATATTTTTTTTGACAATTTGATTTCAGTGTAACACTGAAGATCTATTTAACTTTGTGAAACAATGCATTATCTAAAAACAAACAAACAAACATAGAAGTTCTAACCAATATGCAAGAGAGGCCTGTGGAAATGTATCAGAACAGGAAATATTCCATGATATTATTACAGGTTTCCCCTTGCCAGTGACCTCTGAGAACCTACCACCTGTCTAGCTTTAACCTGTATAGTGTCAAAGTGGAAATATGGAAAATATTGTGAAAATACTGCTGCTTCTTTCATCCCTCCAGGCTGCTTCTCCAGCCCAAATCCACTCCTTCTTAGGGTGGGAGGGAATGTGGATCCCCCTTTCTGTGGGGATCGCTATTATAGCTTCATGTCTCCTCTCTCAATCTCTGGGGGGATGCAGCCTGGATAACCCCACACTCACCCCATTCTCATTCCCCATGTCCTGGGGTTTCCAGGGTAACACTCAGCATCATTGCTGCTCCCTGATAGTCTCCACCTACTCACCTGGACTCACTCTCCCCAGAACCCAGGACCGGGTGTGATGCCCCCCACCCTCCTGCTGCTGCTCTGGGGGTCCCTGGCCCTGATGAAGACCTGGGCCGGTGAGTGTGTGGTCCAGCAGGAAACTGCTCCAGGGGGAGGAGCCAGGACCCTATTGTGGGTGCAGGACCCCAGGAAAGGCTCATCTCCCCAAATTCCTGTACCCCCTTCAGACCCACTGTATTGTGGCCCTTCTGCCCCTCCCAACTACCCTTGGTTTCTCAGGTTCCCCTGAGTCTGGGCCCTTCTTGGGCCTTTTTTCAGTCTTAGGAGCCCCCTTGCCCCTTTCTCTTTCTAGGCCTAACTCCTGGGAGGTTGGCCTTCTTCTCTCTGAGAGGAGAATCAGTCTAGTGTCCCCTCCCCCCCCTCCCCACACCCTACACCCCAGGTTCCCACTCCTTGAGGTATATCTCCACTGCGATGTCTGGGCCGGGCCTGGAGGAGCCCCGCATCATCGCTGTGGGCTACGTGGACGACACACAGTTTGGGCGGTTTGAGGGCACCGCTCTGGGTCAGATCGCAGAGCTGCTGGCGCCCTGGGCAAATAGGGTGGGGCAGAAGGATCTGGAGGAGGAGACCCGGAACCAAAGGGACGAGGCTCAGTGGTTCAAAGCGCTGCTGAAGACCCTGCGAGGCCTCTACAACCAGAGCAACAACGGTGAGATGCCAGAGCAGTCCTGGAGTGAGGTCACCACCCACCCCCATCCCACCATATGGTGGGGGTGGGAGGGTGAGAGGGTGTGTGTTTGTGGGGGGTTTGGGGGGAGTTGTCCCTTAAGGCTGGTGGACTGCCAGACCGCTCCCCCGGGAAGAGCCCCGGGACCCTCCCGCCTGCAGTTTCCTGTTCAGTTCAGGTTGATTCAGGGGGAGAGGGCGGGTGACCCCGGGTGACCGTGGGGCTGACACAGGGGGGTTCAGGGTCTCTCACCCTCCAGAGGATGTTTAGCTGCGAGGTGGGGCCAGACGGGCGCCTCCTCCGCGGGTACGAGCAGTTCGCCTACGATGGCTCCGATTACATCGCCCTGAACCCGGACCTGCGCTCCTGGACCCCCGCGGACCCGGTGGCCCAGATCACCCAGCGCCAGTGGGAGGCGTCCGGGAGGGCGGAGCGCGTCAGGAACTGTGTGCAGGGCAGGTGCCTGAGGTGGCTCCGCAGACTCCTGGAGCTGGGGAAGGAGGTGCTGCAGCGCACAGGTAAGGGGGCCTCATGGCCTCCGACTTCCCTCACCCACAGGACGCCACAGGAAGTGGGATAATGGGCAGAACAGCGCCTGCTTTCTGGTCGAGGGGAGGGGCCCCTGGGTGTCATATTTGGTACCTGAGAGAGACTTGGCCAGAAGACACTGCTTTTCTGGACAGTTAAGGAAACCAGTCTCTCCTGATAGGGGTGTGTGTGTGTGTGTGTTGGGGTGGCTATGCCTGAAATAAATATCTTCACAGATCATTTTGATCAGGCAGCCATTTGGGTTCTATCAGTTTCTCTCTCAAGGTCTTTTTTTTTTTTTTTTGGTCTGAAACAGTTATCTAATTCTGCCTTTCTGTGTCATTCACTCTGCCCAGATCAGGAGCAGATAATCTGTGTCCTCAGAAACCTGTACCCTCCTATCTTGGTGTTTCATCCATTAGCACCAAATCTCTAGACCTGGCTGGTTCTCTGGGTTTTGTGCTTCCTCCCTCCAAACCAATTGTCATGTTCATTCTGTGGATGGTCGTGTGAGGTTGCTTCATTGTCCATGAAGGAAACACAAAATCTGATATTTCTGACTTGTTCCCCTTCAGGTCCCCCAAAGACATCCATATCTTATCACCCCTCATCTGAGCATGAGGTCACCCTGAGGTGCTGGGCCCTGGGCTTCTACCCTGCGGAGATCACCCTGACCTGGCAGCGAGATGGGGAGAACCTGACCCAGGACATGGAGCTGGTGGACACCAGGCCTGGGGGAGATGGAACCTTCCAGAAGTGGGCAGCTGTGGTGGTCCCTTCTGGAGAGGAGCAGAGATACACATGCCATGTGCAGCATGAGGGGCTGCCGGAGCCCCGAGTGCTGAGATGGGGTGAGGAGGGGATGTGGGCACAGAGGCTCTTCTCAGGGGGATCTAGGGCCCTTCTGGGGGTCTTCAGGGGTCAGGATGTGGCCGGGGGCTCAGACTCTTCCCTCCCCTTCCCTTCCAGAGCCCCCCCCTCAGTCGTTCATCCCCACCATGCCCCCTCCTCAGTCCTCCACCCCCACCGGGGGCCTCATTGCTGGCCTGGTTCTCCTTGGAGCTGTGCTCACTGGGGCTGCGGTGGCTGCAGCTGTGATGTGGAGGAAGAAGCGCTCAGGTAGGGAGGGAGTGGGGGATCCTGTCCCCTGGGGGCTTTCAAGTCCCAAGGAGAACTTGCCCCAGCTGGTTATTAGGATGTATCTTCCACACACTGTGTTGTCCAGTCTGGAGCTGATTGCTGACCCCTCACTCTTTCGTAAATCACTTATGAAAATGAATCACCAATTGTTCACATTGTCATTCTGGTAATGGGAATCTGTTTCCCAAAAAATGTCACAGGGAAAGGACCCTGCTGAGTAAATACTCCAGTTCTCTTTCATATCCATTTTTCATATGTCCCTTTTTCCTGATCAAGGTCTTCAGTCATAGTTCTAGAAGCTTCGAGGCCCAGGCTTGGGGGAATCTCTTTAGGACTTAAGAAACTTCCACAAGTTTCTTCCACAAGTGAAAGAGAGGGAGCTCCACTCAGGCTGTTGCAATGTGTAAACTAGGGGTTTGGTCCCTAAGCCTCTGGGGACAGTGTAGATGGAGCTCCTGGGGACAGTGTAGATGGAGCCCCTGGGGTGTCACCCCCATCAGCCCCTCCTGTGGTCTCCTCTCTCTTGGCTCTGACCAGGTCTGTGTTGTTCTCCCCCAGGCAGCAACAGTGTCCATGGCCCTGATGTGTCTCTCAGACCCTAAAGGTGAGACCCTGGAGGCCTTTGGGGGGGGGGGGCTGGTGCAGAGAGGTGGGGAAGCTGTGAGGGGGGCATTCTGCAGTTGCTGTGGACTATTGAGAATGTGAGCACTGAATTCTTTCAATATTATTTTCCTTCACAAAGTAAGACAGCTGCTTTTTGTAGAACTGAGATTTACAGGATTACTCTCAACCCCACTTTGTAACTTCAGGATCTTCTAGTTTATTTTCTTTGTTTTCTAGCTGTTGATGATGGATTTAAAACTTCTTTTTATTATATGTGCTTGTTTTCTTGAATTATTTAAAAATTTTTATAATATTTGTCTTCTCTCTCAGGTGTAGTCCTTGTAGTTCTCTCCCTACCATAGCATCCATCACTACAGTCCCTGTGCTCTTTTCTCCCTTGTTTTGAACCATTCTTTTCTTTACCCCAGGTGTATTCCTCAGTTCTATGGTCAGGTTGCAATTTTTGTTTTTATTCTGACCCTCTGTTTGGTGTCTGTATATCCCATTAGGGAAACCATTTGATACTTATTTTTTTTTTCCTTTCTACTAATCAAGCTTAGCACAATCCTTTTCTATTCCATCCTTACTTCCCAAATGACATGAGTTTATATTTTGGGTCACAGTAGTATTCTACTGCATATATGTACCACACCTTCTTGACCCATTCAAGATCCTCTGATGTAAACATAATGAGAACCATTTCATGTCTGTGAAAATGGCTTATATCAGAAAGACAGACATTAGGAAGTGCTGGCAAGGACATGGAGCATAGGGAACAGAATTACACCGTTTTTGGGAGTGCAGACAGGTTCAGTTTTCATAGAAATAGTATTATGGTTTCCTCAAATAGCCAAAGCTATACTTACTGAAAAGAATGAGAATGGAGGTCTAACAGTCCGGACTTCAACTATACTACAAAGTTATAATAATTAAAGGAGTATGGTTCTAGAACACCAACCAAAGGAATCAAGTAGAAAACCCAGAAATAAAGCCATAGATTTATAGACAACTAATCTCTGACAAAGGAGCAAACTATATGCAACGAAATAAGGACAGTTTGTTCAATAAATGGTGCTGGGAAAACTGGACTGTTACATGCAAAAAAATGAAGCTAGACTACTACCTCACATCATACACAAAACCCAACTCAAAATGAATAAAACAATTGAATGTAAGATCTGAAACCATAAAATATATAGAAGTAAATAGAAACAAGACACTACAGGACATATATTTTGGTTCACCTTTAAAGACACTTCTCCCAAAACAAGAAAGTGAAGGAAAAGATAAACACATGGGATTACATAAAGCTAAAAACTCATGGGATTACATAAAGCTATATAGCAAAAAACTCTAATGCTAACAAAGATTATATTGATTGGGAGAATGTTTTTGCATACAAATTAAGTGATAAGGGACTGATCACAAAGATCTACAAAGAGCTCATACAACCACACAAAAATAAACAACTCAGTCAAAAAATGGGCTGAAGAAGTCTTTAGCAAAAGACTTCTCCCAAGTGGATGCAAATGATCAGCAGGTATATGAAAAAATGTCAACATCACTTAGAATGCATCAGATAAATGCAAATCAAAACCACAATAAGATACCACTTTATACCAGTGAGAATGGCACATATTAAAAAAAAAAAAATGAAACAACAGATGCTGGCGAAGATGTGAGCAAAAAGGAACTCTCTTTTTTTCTGGTGGGAATGCAAACTTCTCCAACCACTGTGGAAAGCTGTGTGGAATTTCCTCAAACTATTAAAAATGAAGCTACCATATGACCAGCAATTCCATTCCTAGGAATCTACCCAAAGTATTCAAAAGCAATAATTCAATAGGATACCTGCACCCCTATGTTTGTTGACGCACTCTTTATGATAGGTAGGGTATCGAAACAACCCAAGTACCCTAAAATAGAAGACCAGATCAAGAGGATGTTGTATATATACACAATGGAGTACTATTCAGCAATCAAAAAGAAAATCTCATGTCATTCTCAACATGAATGGATCTAGAAGGGATTATGCTCAATGAAATAAGCCAGAAAGGCAAAGAAAAATAGCAAATGGTTTCACTTTTAAGAGGAATATAGGGGAATCAAGTAAGTGATCAGAAAAAAAAGAATAATAAATAAAGAACAAAATTAGTAGGCAGCTGTAAGTTGGAGAGATACTGCAGGTGAGGAGCAGAAAACAAAACAAGGGAGAGAAAAGCAAAAGGGACTGTGGTGATGGTGCATGGGTTTATTGGCAGTAGGAATTTTACTTGGAATGACTTGAAAACAGAAAGCATGAAAGCATCCATTGTGCAAAATGAATAATTACATAAAATATGTATATGTATATATGTACATATACATACACTATGTTAAATTATATGATATTTTAATAATATCTAACATAATATATAACAATTGTTATAATATATAACATGTATATTATAACACATTATATTATTTATATAATACATATTATATGTTATTACACATATATTCATATAACAGCATAAGATTTTGTAGAAAATTAAAAGTGGGTCAGTCATAAGGCCCAGCAGTGCCACTCCTGGGTACCTACCCACAGGACACAAACGCACTGCTATGAACGAAGCTTGCACACCCATGATCACTGCTGCACTACTGACAATAACCAAGCTATGGAAACCTCTTAAATACTCATAAACAGATGAGAAATTGTTGGGTCCTTTGCCTGGACAGACCTCCCCACCTCCCCCACAGAATCATATGCACACTGTTGTGTGGAAACAAAGAATGAGCCATGGGTGCTGGAACAGAAAAACAGGAGGCAGGAACTGTTCCTGCCTTGGTTTGCTACCTTATGTTCTTTGACCCCATGTTATTGTCGCATGTTATTGATGCACTTGCTGAGAGCTTCCACCTACCCCCAGCCCCAGATTCCATGCTAAAGGGGATAAATAGAGAAGGAGAGAAGAATAAAGCGTGCCTTTGCTTGCTGACCATGAAGTGTGTGTTTTAATCCTGACGTCCTTCGCTCAGACCATCTCTGCTGTCGTGCTGGCGCGGCAGAAATCAAGAAGTGATAGATAACAGAATACTACTTATCAAAACATAAGCACATGCCATCTGGGCCAGCATGGATGGAGCTGGATGGATTATGCTATTTGACATAAGTCCAAAGGAGAAAAACAAATATGTCGCTCATATATGGACATAGAGAAGTCTAGCAAAGGGCTATCCTAAGGCCAACTTCAAAGCTGACCCTTCTACCCTCCAGGTTGTGCCTATTGCTGACCAGGGCTGCAGACCAGCCCAAGCCCCATAGCACAGGATGGGGACTGAACCTCTCTAGCTTGTCATCAAGCTCATTTGACAAACCTTGACTCACCCATTGCATCTTGTTGCATCTACACCACCACAGGATCCTCCAACCCTCGCTGTTAGTCGGGGATCTTGTACTTGATGCCGCAGGTTACGATTTTTTTACACCACTTATATATATAACCACAGGGCCAGAAAGCCCTTCCTACAAAATGTAATTCTGATTGTAACAAATCTCGTTGCTTTTATCCCTTATTTCCTCTTTGCAATGCTCAGCTGTTTTTTGGTCTATGATCATTGCCTAGTGAACCACCCATAGTTTTTTAAAGGGTCAAGTCTACCAAGAAACTACTGTCATGTCATTACCATGGATTAAATCTTCCCACTATTTCACGGGTCCTATGGAGATGAGAGGTTACAGCAAATTATGTGACCGTATAGGAGAGTTTCCACATGGCTGGATTAAACTCATTATTAGTGTATGGTCCTTCCTCTTTGTCAGTGACATGTTTCACTGACCTTACCAGTGATGTGTGCATAAGCATGTCCATAAAGTTCATCCTCTCTGGAAGATTTCTGCACCAACTGCAGGTCATGCTCCTCACCCTGTGGGGGCTTTTCAGAATCTATCTTCTCATCTCTACCCTTTCATCTTTCCATTATGCCAGCTGGTTTATTTAGGTTTGTATATCTTGGTCAATATCTGGACAGTTTCCATTAATGATGTTGATTTTCATTTCTTCACATGTTTAGGTCATTAATGGCTCTACTCACCACTCAGACCTTCACCTCTTTACTAAGACTGTGGACAATGTTTTACATTGTGGGAGAGAATTGGAGGCTCATTCAAAAATCCTTTCTCCTTTGAAGGGAAGGGCCACAGTTATGTGAAGATGACAGAAGAAAAACAGCCGATATTTTCCTCTGGAGAAAAGCTGAAAGCCTTTCCTTTAAGATCAGGAACAAGACAAGGATATCCACTATCACCATTGCTCTTCAACATAATACTGGAAGTGCTAGCCAGAACAATAAGACAGGAAAAAGACATACCATAAATCCAAATAGGGAAAGAAGATAAAACCGGGGCCCTCCCTGGTGGAGCAGCAGGTTAAAGCACAGCACTAAGAAGCTAAAGCCACTTCCACATGAATTTGATACCCGCCTGCATATGGAGGTGATCCATATGGCATGGCAGACCTCTCCTGACCTACCCACTGCTCCCCTCAGCAATGCACTTCGTCAGTCTGCCTGTTCTGCTCCCCACTCTGTTGCTGGTGAATCCTCTCACCACCCCTGCACCTCTGGCCTGTACCCCAGTTCTGTATGAATAAATAAATAAATCTTTAAAAAGAAGAAGTAAAACTATCTTTATTTGCAGACGATATGATAATTTTCATGGAAAGCCCTAAACCCTGTTGAGCTTCATCAGCTTTTTGTATATCTTTGTGATCTTTGTCATTAGTGTTGTGTGCAAAAATTTTCTCCCAATCAGTGAGGTGTCTCTTTGTTTTTTGTAGTGAC